GAATCGCGCTCTCGCCTGGGACTTCCTTACAATTTATTCAAGAATCGCTCTCCCGGCGCTCTGGAGTCGCGCTATCGCTGGATACTTGCTTGCAACTTTCTGAAGAATGGACTTGCGTTGGAATGTCCTGCAATTTGCCCAAGCGCCGCGCTCCCGACACCCAGGCACCCAGGAGTCGCGCCCGTTGTGGCCCCATGTGCATGCCCTTCGCGGCCCTGCTGTCGCCATTTGTGTCCCCCTCACTGTCCTACGTGGCCCAGTTGCTACCCTCAGTGGCCCCATAGTTGCCTTCTGTGGCCCCGCATTATCTGCACTTCGTGGCCCCCGCTCGTTCGCGCTCTTCGTGGCCCATACGCATTCCCTTCGTGTCCCCGCTGTCGCCCTTCGTGGCCTACTTCGTGCCCTTCGTGGCCCTGCTGTCGTTCTCTCTCGCTCTCGGTTTCGCTCGTCGTCGCCGTCGTCATCGTCGTCGCCGTCGTCGACGTCGTCGTCGTCGTCGTCGTCGTCGTCGTCGTGGTCGGTCCCCTGTCCGTCCCTCTTGGGGTCGGGTCGACGGTCAGCGGCCGGCCCGCGCTGCCGCTGGCCAGGCCGACGGTCCGCGGACGCCCGCCGCTTGCCGGGGCCCGGCCTGCAGGGAAGAAAGGTATACCCCCCAAAAGGGGTTCGATCGAAGATGAAGAGGGCGGGTATCGAGGGTTTGGGAATTCTTTACGCTTCGCGTATCCCCACCAGCCCATCTCACAGCAGCAACTCTCGCGAAGCATGCCGACAGTCGTGTTTTTCAGGCGTGTGTCCGCTTGGGCCCCGCATATCTCCCCTGTTCCTCCTTCCTCCCGCCTCCTTGTACATCCTCCTTGTGGGGGGAGCGGGACAAGGACGAGGCGGACCGGAGGAGGAGGGAGAGAAAGCGCTCCTCGTGATTTGAGTCGTTTGGGGCTTCGCGTCCTGATGTGAGTCGTTCGGGCCCTTCTTCCTGGTGTGAGTCGTTCGGGCTCTTCGTGGTGTGAGTCGTTCGGGCTCTTCGTCCTGGTGTGAGTCGTTCGGGCTTCTCGTGGTGTGAGTTGTTCGGGCCCCTCATCCTGGTGTGAGTCGTTCGGGCCCCTCCTCCTGGTGTGACTCGTTCGGGCTCCTCGTGGTGTGAGTCGTTCGGGGCCCGCGTCGTGGTGTGAGTCGTTCGGGCTCCTCGTGGTGTGAGTCGTTCGGGCGCCTCGTCCTGGTGTGACTCGTTCGGGCCCCTCCTTGTGGTGTGAGTCGTTCGGGCTCTTCGTGGTGTGAGTTGTTCGGGCCCCTCGTCCTGGTGTGAGTCGTTCGGGCTCCTCGTGGGGCCTCTTGGGTGCCTCTTGGAGCCTCTTGGGGCCTCTTGGGGGCCTTTTGGGGGCCTCTTGGGGGCCTCTTGGGGGCGTCTTGGGGCCTCTTGGGGCCTCTTGGGGGCCTCTTGGGGGCCTATTGGGGGCCTCTTCGGCCCTCTTGGGGGCCTCTTGGGGGCCTCTTGGAGGGCTCTTGGGAGCCTCGTGGGGGCCTGTTGGGGCCATCTTGGGGCCTCTTGCGACCTCCTCAGAAGCGCAAATGAGCGCCACCCCCTGAGAAGGACAACATGAGGCCAACACCCTCGTAAAATCAATGATTTTGCTATGAAGGAAGAGGAGCGCGGCCCCCTCAGGAGGCCAAAATGGGGCCGAAACCGTCGTACAATCAATGTTTTTGGCTTCAACGAAGAGGAGGGTTTTTTTTTAGTGTCCCCCCGTCGGGGCCAGAATCCTCGTGAGGGTCGTCGTTTTTTGGCCCTCCCAGGAGTCCAAAAGGACTCCCCTGGCGACCCGCGGGGCTCCCTCTCCAGGCCCAGGGGGAGGGGGTAGGGGGAGGGGTAAACCCCTCCCCGAAGGAGAAGAAGGGGGGTTGAGGACAGAGAGAGCTCGCTAAACCACTCACGCCCAAAGGGCTGGTGGGATTACGCGTTATTGGACACTCGAGCATAGAAGGGCGAGCAGTCTTAAATTGTTGTTGTTTGTTGTTGTTGTTGTTGTTGTTGTGTTGTTGTTTTGTGTTGTTGTTGTTGTTGTTTGTTGTTTGTTTGTGTTGTTGTTGTGTTGATGATGATGATATGATGATGATGGATGATGATGATGATGATGATAGATGATTGATGATGATGATGGTGGGTGGTGGTGGTGTGTGGTGGTGGTGGTGGATGTTGAACATTATTTATTCTAAAGAATAATTATTGTTGGGCCCCCTGGTGCGCGCCCCCCCTGCGCCGCCTAGGCCGCAGCTACATTTTCATCATTTTCGTGAGGAAGCCTCAGAAAAGAGGGTGTGTACAGGATCCGGTTGTTTTGTTGTAATCCGCTTTCCCTTGCAAAAAACAATAGAAATGACATTTCTTGTTCTAATATAATCAAATTTCAAGAATCCCTTGCAAAAAATAAGGTAAAGTGGACATTCGCGCGCGCAAGACGAAATCCTTCCAAAACCTTAGTGTTCGCAGCGATTTTAACATAAAAACATCAAAAAACCAATGGTTTTTTCAACAAAAAATTGTCAAAATCTCATCCCGCGCGCTCTTGCGGATTCGTAGGAACCCCAACACCATCAGGACAACCATCGGGACAACCATCGAGACAACCATCGGGACAACCATATCCTCTCTCTCTTGTGTATTCCCACATCCCTCAGGAATTTGCCCTAAAGATGTGATCAACTATCTTGTGAGTACGTATCATGTGTATCATGTGTATCATGTACCATATGCATCATATGCAACAGATGTTCTGTGGAAGGCTTAACAACTTCTGTGGGTTAACAAGGCTTAACAACTTCTGTGGGTGTACGAACGTAGGCTTAACAACTTCTGTGGGTGTGTACTCCACGCCAGTGTAGTAGCCACGGTCGTCCGCAGGCCACGAAGTGAAGTGTCCGAACGTCATAGGGCGGGAAGCTGGGTGTGGGTGGTGGCGAAGAGTCGTGTGGATATTTGGTAGAGCTTGCACTGCCCCCCCACAAAGTGGGGGTATTGGCTGGCGTCGCATGAAAACCCTGGCACTGGTGAGAACACTGAGCGTTCGGGTAAAGTGATTGTTGTTGTTGTTGCTGTTGTTGTTGTTGTTGTTTATTGTCGTCGTCCCACCCGCGACCCACCCCGCGACCCACTCCGCGACCCACCCCGCGACCCACCCCGCGACCCACCCGCGACCCACCCCGCGACCCACCCGCGACCCACCCCGCGACCCACCCGTGACCCACCCGCGACCCACCCCGCGATCCACCCGCGACCCACCCCGCGACCCATCCGCGACCCGTCCGCGACCCATCCGCGACCCGTCCGCGACCCACCCGCGACCCACCCGGCGACCCACCCTCAAAGGAGGAGAAACCACCCGGACCCGACAATTGACGTTTACTAAACAGCCGCGTGCGTTTGTTAAACAGCCCTGCCTTGTTCGATTCATTCTTTGTGTGCGTTTACTAAATGGCTTTGCTTGTCGGGGTGATTCTTATGGGATTGATTTTCTGCCTTTACACCCGCGAACCACCCCACGACCCAGCAGCAGCCCACCCGCGACCCACCCGCGACCTACCCACATTGCTTCAACAACAAAATCGGCGCCTGCGGCGGGCTCGTTGTCTAATTTGTAAAACTTTGGCGCCTGCGGCGGGCTTCTCCAGAGTCTCGCAAACTGCCGACGTCCCCACCGCCACCGCATTCTTATGGGCGTGGCCACTGACCACACCTCCGATGACAAACGGGGCGGGACAGATAGCAAGAAACCGGGGAAAGAGGTGGGGTGAGGAGCCTGTGCTCGGAGAGGCGGAGGAGGAGGGGAGGCGAAGGAGCGGGGTGGGACGAGGAGAACGCTGGAGAAGGACGCCGAAGAGAAAGAGTGGAGAAGAGATGCGCGCAAGTGGAACCGAACAGTTTCCGAACATATCGGCCCCCCGGGTGTTGATGTTCAGAACGTGTCCAGAACCACCCCGCTCCATCTCCATGCTGCACTACCCCGCTGATCGGGGCCGGCGCCGGGACACAGCTACGCCATGATGGCATGGGGGTTAACAGCGCCGTAACTACGAAGTGCCTGATTCAGTATTGCAGAAGCACGGCGAGGATGATGTGCCATCTGGCGGCAGTGCAACTACCGAGTAGGCTAAGCAGCGGAACGAAGGTGGACCGTGACAGCCGTTGCCACCACACCACCAAAATGGACCTCGGAAGTTGCCTACAAATTGTGCGTGGCGGATGCCAGAACTCCAGCTGTGGTTGTTGAGTCGGTCTGCCCGAAACAGCGGATCGCAGGCTAGCTGGGTATGCAACACATAGCTTTAGCCCACAGTCCTGGCAGAGTTCCAGGGCGGAAATGGCTGAAACCACGAGGTCGGGTCGGTCGGAAGGGGGGAAAGGAGGAGGAGGAGGAGGAAGAGGAGGAGGAAGAGGAGGAGGAGGATAATGACGGCGACGAGGAGGTGGTGGAGGAGATCTGAGCTCGTTGCTGCCGGGCATCCCGGCGGAGCCTCAGCCACGCGGCCGGGTGGGGGGGGGGCTTCTTAGAAGCACCCAGTGGGCGCAGGCGCCCCTTCTGAAGGAGCTGGTGGCTGCTTCTTGGAAGCTTCCCCTGGCGTGCGTCCAAGATGCAGGTGGCCTGCTTCCAAGGCGCTGTCTTTGCTTCCTAGGGGGCAGTTCCGTGCTTCTGGGAAACTGCGGGGGTGCTTCCGAGACGCGGCGCGCCCCCCTGGCTTCTCAGAAGTGTCGGCCGGCACCTTTGCGAGGCGGCCGCCTTCTGAGAAGCCCTCCCCCCCTCCTCCTACCCGTAAATCGGGCCGGCCCCTCTACAGGGGGAATACTCAAACGTAGTATTTCAAAAATCGTCCGGGGACGAGGTTTTGATCACTTCTGCCTGTGTTTGAATATGTTTCTGGTATCCTTTATCTTTCGTCCAAAATCTCCCTGAAGGCGGACACGCCCGACCTGATCCTGCCCCCTACGTGCGCGCCGCCGAGAGCCAGAGGTGGCCTGCCTGCTGGCCCACTGCGAGCAGCTGATGGAGGAGCACGCCGCCGAGGCGCGGAAAGGAGGGTTGGATGCGCCGAGAATATGTACAAGGAACCCCTAACCTTAGTAGGACAAGGAAGACGTAGCCTCCAGTAGGTCTCCGTCTTTGCACTGGGCACGATCAGTCCGTCACCACCCACCAAACCACCCCAACCCAACCCGAGGGCCTCAGTTTGCACTCCATTTCCAGTTGGGGGGGGTCGGGGGACACCGAGAAAGCGCATGGAGCCCGTACCCTCCTCAACCCGAAATTCGGGTCAAATTCGGGTCTTCGGGTTGGGTTGGGGTGGTCCGGTAGGTTTGGGTGGTTTGGTTCGATGCACCTTCTGCAAAAGCCATCCCGAGGGTTTTGGGCCTCTTGACTTGGGCCTGCTCCCAAAGGGCCAGGGGTCCTTCGATTGCTACTCGGGGATGGGGGGGTTAATTACGGAGCTGCGCGTGCAGTGGCGACGCTGAACCAGGAGGGGCTCTGCTTTTCGGGTTCAGGAGAGTGCACCTTGGGTGCCCCTTGGGTTCAGGGGGGTGCACCTTGGGCTCACCTCGGGCCCTCTGGACAGGGAGGCTGCACCTTGGGCTCAGGGAGGAGGGCTTTGGTCCCAGGGCCGCTCCTTCCATGTGTGTCGCGGGGGTCGGGGGCCTAGAAGCAAGTGTGGCCGAGGCCCGCCGTGGCCATCCGAGCCCCGTGCCTCGTGGCAGGCCGGGCGATTTTATCTGGCGCTCTCCGCGGCAGCACGGTGGCCGTCTTGCGACTGCGCCGGCTACTCGCACGACGAGGCAGTTTCACGGCGCTGCACCTTGGCTCTCCCGGCCTCGCCTCCTTCCCCTCCTCCTCCTCCTCCTCCTCCTCCTCCTCCTCCTCCCTCCTCCTCCTCCTCCTCCTCCTCCTCCTCCTTCCCCCTCTCTCCCCCTCCCCCTCCCTCCCCCTCCTCCTCCTCCTCCTCCTCCTCATCCTCCTCCCTCATCATCATCATCATCATCATCCTCCTTCTCCTCATCTCCTCTCCTCCTCCTCCTCCTCCTCCTCCACCTCCTCCCTCCTCCTCCCGTTCCTCCTTCCTCCTCCTCCTCCTCCTCCTCCTCCTCCTCCTCCTATCCTCCCCTCCCCCTCCCCCTCCTCCTCCTCCTACCTCCTCCTATTCCTCCCTCCTCCCCTCCCTCTCCCCTCCTCCTCCTCCTCCTCCTCCTCCTCCTCCTCCTCCTCTCCTCCTCCTCCCTCTTCCCCTCCTCCTCCTCCTCCTCCTCCTCCTCCTCCTCCTATTTCTTCTCCTCCTCCCCCTCCTCCTCCTCCTCCTCCTCCTCCTCCGAGCGCACTCCCCTGGAAAGACCGAGTCCCGCCGCGTGCGGGCGTCCTGTGAGCTGCATTTAGTGCAGCATCTCGAACATGGGCCAGGCTCTCAAGCCTGGAGGTAAACGTCATTGCGCTAACCTCTGAATTGCTTTCCTCCCCCCTTCTGAGGGAGGCTCACAGACTGACTTTAATTTACTGCGGGCCCGTATAGTCCATCCCCCGCAACGGCTACACCAGCAAATGCCGTTGGTGACTTGTAAATGGGGTTGATGGGACGGGTGCATCGCCAAAACGTGGGGCCTACAGGGTCTCTTTAACCAGGTGGGCATCCGAATTTTGACACTACCTTGCTTCTTACATCTAAGGCAAGCTAGATTATACTCGGGGGCGACAGGGGCAGCTAAAAGACAGTGAGATGTATTCTGAAAGGCATCCGGAAGGGCCTGTACACTTCTAAGGGCTCTCACTCTGCTACGCTCCTCCTTCGACTCCTCGTCCTCCTGGGGGAACTGATCCTTGGATTCCCAGTAGTGGGTCTGGATTGCCGAGAGACGGTCGCAAATCATGTTGGCGTGGATGTCTGCCCCCTGAATCTGGCGGGCCAGCGCGGGCGGTACGCTCCGTCGTCGGGCAGCGCACCTGGCAATATCATCCACTTGCTCATTCATGTAGAGCGTCCAGGGCGGCTCGTTAGCCGCCTCCTCCTCCGTCGGGTGACTTTTGACCTTCTGGAAAAATAGCTGTGCGGCACGGGCTGAGGCATACGTCCAGAACTTCTTCCAAGCCAGAGGGTTACGAGAGTGTCGGGCCCTGGGTCCTTTCAAGAAGCCTTTGATGACGTAGAGGCAGTCGGTGACGATGACTAGGGGTCCTCCTGTGGCTTGGAGAAGGTTGATGACTGCGGCAAGTTCAGCGAGAGGGACTGACTGCTGGCCTCGGATCCCTCCTGAGAGTGAACCGATGAACTGCATCGAGGAGGACCAGAGGGCGGCTCCCCAGCCGCAGACTCGGAGGCGTGCATCCAAGGTGTGCTCCCCTCCGCTCCCGTCGGTGGCCCCGATGAGGATGTTTGCGTGGCTGAACTTGGCGTGTTGCTGAAAAACTCCAGTTTTGAGGATGTCGTCGTCAAGGGACATGATGTGTTGGTGGACTGCGTGTAGGGCCCACCTAGCAGGTACAATCCCTCGGAGCCAGAGGCAGGCATTCTGGGGGCACTCCTGGACAGCTTGAGGTACTGAACCTTGGGTCTTCTGGATGGCCTCTAAACCTAGCGAGGGGAGCTCGGGGCAGGTCCAGAACTTGTGAAGGTCGTCCGCATTCGGCTGTCCACAAAGTAGGCAGTCGGCGCGGTCCTGGAGCCCTGCTTCAAATCTGCGCTCTTCACTCCAGCACTTGGAACAGGCAACGGCAGACATAGCGGAGGGGTAGGAGGCGAGCCTGGTGAGGTGCTCTTCTTTGGTGGCCCTCTGGTCCCTGGTGAGCTCCTCCTCCTCCATCTTCTTCCTCTGCTTCCCGATGACTGCTGCATTCCTGCTGGGGTAAAGCCTCATTGCTGTGATATCTCCTCCTTCCTCCAACCCTGCGGAATTGTGGCTCTTGGGGCAATTGAGGCTCCAGAGGCGCATGGAGAGGAGGAACTGCATGTGATAGAGGAAGCGCTGCTGCTGGTCCCAGCTGAGCGGCTTCACACTGAAAGCCTGGCCTGAGGGGTCCGACCACTGCCAGGCAGCGGTAGGCCCCCAACCTATGTCGTGAAGGGTGGCGATGACCGCCGACAGGTGCGACTTCACGCGAAGCCACCGATGCTGCGAACGAAGCTTGTCTCGTAGCAGAGGCCATGCTCTTTGGATTCCTCCCAGGAGACCGAGCTCGTTATTGATGAACCTGAACCAGGTCTGACATAGGTTTTTCCTGAGGAAGATCGCGGGGTCGACTTCTGCGGGTTCTGCTTTGAGTGCGTGAAGTCCTGTGGTGAGGCAAGCTCCTGATTTAGACACTCCGAAAGCAGATGCGGTCTGGCGGCGCAGAAAAAACACTTCTGAAGGTGAGGTCCCGTGACCTTACGTGCCCCATAACATCTGGGGCTGCGCTCCTGTGCGATAAAGAGAACGAGCCTTGGTCGTTGTCCTGGCCAGCTTCTTGATGTTTCTTGCCCTGAGGAGCCCGAGGGTGCGACGTTTCCTGCGTACCTTTTGGGTCCGACGGCGCCCCACGGAGGCATCCATCCCGAGGTCCCTGGTGTGGCTGAGGGGCTTGATGCGGATCCCGTGGTCCTGGAGGGTGCCCGCGACGGCCTTGCTGAGGTCCAGGGAACTGGCCAAGACGACGGACTTATCCGAGAGACGGCAACCTAGTTCGGCAAATCCTTGGCAGAGGTTCACGATTCAACTGGGGAAGGTCTCCTTCAACATGTCGGGGCTGCCGACCATCCGAATTCTTATGTCGTCCACCCATGTCCTGATGGTGGGCCTTGGGATCTGGTAGTGGGCCCTCTCGAGTACCTCGTAGAGTAGGGCCCTGGCCCATGGTACACTCTGTCCGCACCCTTGAAGTATAGACATGAGTGGCGTTAGCGGGTTGCTGACCCCGATAGGCGTAGTGAGGACCCTGACAGCGGTGTGGACCAGGACCCCAAGGGAGAGCGGGACCACGGGGTAGCTTAGCTGCAGCGCCTTCTGGGAGAGCTTCTGGATATCTATGGTGTCAAAAAGCTTTTCGAGGTCGAGCACGCCCTCGACGATGCTGGCCTGGAGTGCCCCTCCGGTCTCAGCGAATACCTCGCTGACCAGAGCGGCCTGTAGACAATCACTACCTTTGGTGGCTGCATCCCAGAAACCAGCCCGAGCTTCTTCCCAGGATGATATCTGGCCTTTGAAGAGCCCCATGGTGACCCGATAGGGCGCATTGGTGAGGGTGATGGGTCGGTCACTGATTTCCGTCTTGGGCTTGAGGGCCACGAGGTTTATTAGACATTGGGCTGGATACTGCTGCAGCCTACATATATCATTGATCATATCTGTTAGGATCTCCAATCCTGCTTCTGGTAGTCGGCGAAGGTCAGCGGTGCGCCACTGGTCGGCGCCAGGTGCCGAGCTGGCAGGGAAAGACTTAAGCGCGGCTGCTACCTGGGTGGTAGTGAACTGGTCGTCTTGATCCCAAGAGTCCCGTGCCTGCTGCCTAATCTCTTGAATCCATTGGGCCTCGGGGGGGACCTCCAACTTGTTTCCCTCTGGGTCCCGGAACTTCATCCCAAACTCGCTCTTGTGACCTAAGACCTGCATGGGGTCCGTAACTATGTTGCCATTGGCATCTGTGAAGATATCGTTTCTCCTCGGGGGTGGGGCCTGGGATCTTCGTGATATGGTGGGCGCCGCCGCCGCCGCGGGCGAGGGAGTCCTCGAGCCACGACTGGAAGGCAGCATCCTGCTGCCGCAGGGCCTCTTTCTCATAAAACTGGACTGCCACTTCTAGCTGGAAGAGGGCGTCTTCGAGTTGGTCCTCCTGAAGGTTCCCGAGAAGGTACTTCTTGATCAGGTCCTGGAAATCCTGAAGGGCCCCAGGGGGCCACGGGAGGCCTTGGTTGACGATGTCGCTGATGTACCCCTGGAGTCTCTGGAAACCTTCTGAGCGGGGCTTGATCTTGTGGAGCTGGTCTCTCTCCTTTGCCCTTTGCTGGAGAACTCCCCATTGGTGACTGGCAGGGTGTGGACGCTGCTGGAAAG